TCTTTCTTTCGTTTATTCTTTCTTTCTTTTTTCATTCATTCTTTCATTCCTCTCTTTCATTTATTTTTCTTTTCTTTCTTTCTTTCTTTAACCAACTCCTTCTTTCTTCCGTTCGTTCTTTCTTTCTTTTTCATTCTTTCTTTTTTTTCATTTTTTTTTTTTGGAAAAAAAATTCTTATTTCATTTTCCTCTCTTTCATTTATTTTAATTTTTTTTTTTTTTCTTTCTTTCTTTTTTTTTCTTTCTTTCTTTCTTTCTTTTTTGGTTTCCATCTCCTTTTAAAAAATTCGTTATTTTTTTCTTTCTTTTTCATTCTTTCTTTCTTTCATTATTTTTTTCTTTCTTTCTTTCATCCATTCCTTCTTTCTTTGTTTGATTCCTTCTTTCTTTCCTTCTTTCTTTCATCCATTCCTTCTTTCATTGATTTTTTCTTTCTTTCCTTCTTTCTTTCATCCATTCCTTCTTTCTTTGATAGTTTTTCTTTTTCTTTCCTTCTTTCTTTCATCCATTCCTTCTTTCTTTTATTTTTTCTTTTTCTTTCCTTCTTTTTTTCTTTCTTTCATTCATTCATTCTTTCTTTATCACTTTGCTTCTAGCAAAATTTTCGTTATAACCTTATTTTATTTGTACAGTTCTTTCTAAATTTGTGTATTTATTCCTCTTCTCTAGACTTTATTGTCCTGCCTACGTTATTCTTCCTATTTCTATGTTTTCTTGAATTTCTTTTATTTTTCGAAAATTTTTCATTTTTAACGCTTCTTCATTCATGTAAAATTTTCTCCCACTCTAACTCTAAACTTGTTACATTATCATCTTTACAATTGTTTTCATTTATTATTCTTTCCTATTTCTATCTTGCTACTTTTCTTCATTTCTTTTGACTGTTTTCTCTTTCGCCTTACCTATCTTTTCTCTGCTTGTTATTATTTTATCTCAATCTCATTCGCTTTAATTCCTGTTTCATTCTTTTATTCGTATTTTCATTTCTTTTTTCTTTTTATTCCATTTTTTTTTCCTTTTCCACATTCATATGATTTTTTCACAAAGTTTCATACCATATTTATTTATGTTTCCATTCCTCCATCCTTGCCTACATCATTTTTATTCGATTTCGATATATATTTGTATTTTTTTTTTTGATTTCCATAAATATTTCTTTTTATTCCTTTTTATCTTTTCACTATATATTTAATTCCTTATAATTTTCTTTTCTTTCTCCCATTACTTTTTTTTATCTAGTTCACACAATAAAAAAAAAAATACTCTTTCTTAAGGGCGGTCCTGTTTACCTTGTCAATATTTATTTGTCGAATTCATCAGCTCAAGTGGCAAGGAGGTTTTACTCCTAACAAAGACACAGAGCCGAGCCAACTGCAGAAATCAAGAAATTTAACCGAGGCTGCCATTTTTGCTCGATTGATAAAAATAGAAAAAAACACCATCCTGATATATTTTTCATTTTGAGGGCAAAATCTATTTTGTCTGCGCAAATATGTAGTGATATATATCAAACCGCATTAATTTTCATCTGCGGATGGATTTTCTGTTTTGAGATGAAACTGAGTCTGAACGCCTGAGTTCAGCGTCCGGGACTAATTGCAATCAATGTGCTAAAGTTCGAAGGGAATATGGCGGAGAAGAGCTTATTTTTATGCATGAAGGCGGAAGTATTTTGGTGGGCGAAAAAGAAAGCTTGAATAAGAAATAATGAAAAATATATAGAAACAAACAGCCAAATAATAGAGAAAGAAAGAAGATATGTCCATTGATCAGTGGCACAGGTGAATACAAGGAAAAAGAAAGAGAACCATGAAAAATATTTATATGTGCGTGTGTGTATGTGCGCATGTATATAAATGTATATACATATGTGCGTATAGAAAGAAAGAAAGAATGACAAAAAGAAAGAAAATGAATAGACTGAGACTGATAGATAGATAGATAGATAGATAGATAGATAGATAGATAGATAGGTAGGTAGGTAGTTAGGTAGGTCAGTTAAAAAGGAGTTAGAAAAAGGAAAAAATGAATAAGAAGGAGATAGAAATGAAAAAAATGAATAAACATAGATACCAAGATAGATAGATAGATAGATAGATAGATAGATAGATAGATAGATATTTTTTTTTAAAAAAAAAAAAGAAAGAAAATGAATAAACTGAGATAGATAGATAGATAGATAGATAAAAAAAAGAATGAAAATGAATAAACAATTGATAGATAGATAGATAGATAGATAGATAGATAGATAGATAGATAGATAGATGTGTATAGACATAGATAGATAAGATAGATAGATGTGTATAGATAGATAGATAGATAGATAGATAGATAGATAGATAGATAGATAGATAGATGGATAGATAGATAGATAGAGAGAGAGAGAGATAGAAGGAAAGAAATTTGTGCGGTACTTATTTGAGACTTTGACATAATGTGTCTGCTACCAATTGACTTTGTCTTAGAGGATGACAAAGAAGTTACAACAACACCAAAAACAAATATAGGAAATTAAGTAAAGGGGAATGAAACAACGACTAAAATCTGATTGGCTTAAAATGAGGGCAAAATTGAGAAAAGAGGATGAATGATGAAAACATGAGGCTTAATAAAGTGCGAGAAAAACGAAATATGATTTTTATCATTCTCCGAAGTATTTTTGCCACTTTTATCTTACGAAACTTATCCACATTTCTTCACCAACTTCTTAATATATCTTAATCTATTGCATATAATAATGATAATAATAATAATAATAATAATAATAATAATAATAATAATAATAATAACAATTATTATTAATATTATTATTATTATTATTATTTATTCTCTAGCTCATTCTACTTTTATTTAGTTGCTACTTCTTTCTGCACTTCTAGTATCATTGTTTTAATTCCTCTTCTTCATGTATTTTCCTTTCTCCTATTCCTTCTAGACTTCTATTTCTTTTCTTGCTAATTCTTTCTAAATTTCGAGTATCATTTACCATTCATTTTTCATTCATTTTTCATTCATTCTTTCATTCCTATTAGTATTCTTATTATTCGTATATATCAACACCAACTATTTCTCTTTATCTTCCTTTATCTGTGTCTAGTTTTTATGAATTGCAACGTTTCCTTCATCACTTACTGATAATATTAAGTGTTATAATATTCTTTCTCTTTTATTTATAACATTAATTCGACACAAATATTTCCTCTACTTCTTCCCTTCTGTCTTTTATCCTTTCGCTACTTGCTACTATCCACCCCGGAATTTATTTTAATCTCTTCTTTGAGCTCCTGTCTAAAAATTACTTCAGAGATGACCCTTCCTCCCAAGCACAACCCCTCACTATTTCTGCTCAACTCGCCCAACATTTCAAACACTCTTCATTATTTACGCCTCCTCCATTCGTTCGCCATTCGAATTTTCCTCCGTTAATTACTACTGTTTGTGAATTCATAAAAGATCGTAAAAGTTTCAAAAGAAATCTGAAAAAAAAAGAGAATTAAGGAGAGAGATAACGATCGATCCTTACATCATGCTCCCTGAAGCATTCACCTCTCAATCACCCTGTCTCCTCCTCTCTAATCGAATCCTATCGATCTCTTTTTTTATTATTATTTCTTCACTGAGTGGCCGAGAAGCGAATGGACTGGCATCATCAGGTAGGCACGTCGAACTCTTATTTTGACTGCAGCTTTCATTCGATTTCAATGAATTTTTATATGATTCTGGCATCATTCCTTATGCACAGTTGATAAAATAGATATTGCTTTTCAGCTTGTTTACAAATTCATTCTCAATGTTGACATCAGTAATAATTATAATGTATTAGAGATACTATTTTCTATAAGAAGAACAAGATTTATGTGGCCAACAGCGACCAGAAATCTTTCTTTCATCAGAGAAGCGCCGTGAATAGTGTAGTTATTCGTCTGTGATATGAAATCTCCTGAGGCTTAGGAAATGCTTGGCAAAGAGTATTTAAGAAAAAAAATGAATAACCTATTGCAAAGTATACTCAACAAAAGATATTTTATCAAGGAAATGAAACCGTTGATCAGTTTCCCTTATTTCTTATTCGACACCCTTCCTGAACTGGACAAGAGGAGTCAGATGAATCACGGCACCAAGAAGTTGTCGCCAATGCATAAAATACTGCGACCAAAGATGCCGTAGATTAATTTATTTTGAAAAGATGCCGAGGGACTATTTGAGAAATGACTGCTCAAAAACACTGAAGATTTCGTTTTGTTATGAGAACAATTGAAGATTACGAAAGGCAACTTTAAACATCTAAACATTCAAGAAGAGGACGAATGAAGTTGGAAAGAATTCAAATGTATAACACAAATGTTATAGAGGAAGAAAAATGTCGCTGCCGACACATGAGTTTGAACATAGATCGCCAGTGAGCAAACACAGGGGATCCCATTATTGAATTAAGTAGACCACGTGGCCATAGAGGAAACGCATATATGGGAGGTAGCGTGTGTCTAATTGATCGCTGTTTCTATTCTATCCTCTATTACTATACGGACCGCTATTTTCGACATTATTCACTAAACTCAAATGACGAGCTTGTGTAAATGAATTGCAAAATAATGTTTAAGAGTGATAGCAAAGAGGCAAAATTTGCTAAGAGATACAAAGGACAGGAAGTTGTAGAGAGCCAGGATTGCCCACGTTATGAATGGATCCGATATATAGAAGATCGTTTCATTTGAAAATACGTAAATTAAGCGCGTATTATGTACGAATATATTTTAGATATATTTCAACTTTCAAGTTTTATTAACAGGCCTTGTGAGCTCCCCCCCAAAAAAAACAAAAAACAAAAAAAAAACCAATAGTTTTTTTACAAAATTCGGCCGACAACGTGCATTCATTCATAAAACGGTCTTCTCCACAAACAAATAGACAGACTGACTCCTGCGACCAACTGACACGGAGCAAGAGTTCTCCATTGCATACGAGGTTTAGCCACAGGAAAATTGTTCCGCTACAGTGCCTCATTAAGTGACACAAGACAAACTAACATCATCCAATTTCTAAAAGCGCTGGGGGTAACGAAATCATTTATTGCAGGACCGGTGCCTCAAACATTTTTCGACTCTTCAGCCCATTCATATATATATATATATATATATATATATATATATATATATATATGAGAAAAGAAGATAGGAACCGCAAACGATTTTGGTTGTAATGTGGATTGTTGTAAAAATATATTATGCTTTATTTTCCATAATTTTGCTAATCAGGTGTTTCCGGTCTCGCGACCTTTATCAGGCAAAGACTGAATGTTTTTCTTGAACTCAAGTGAACTGAGTTAAAAAAAAAACATTTAAGTCACTAACACTCACAAAAAAAGATGTCTAATATCGAGAATATTTAACATCGAAAAACATAAGAAAAATTAATTACTTGTAATAATATGTGGAAATATATACTCTTTGCCTGATGAAGGTCGGAAGACAGGAAACCCGTGTAGCCAAATTATGGAAAATAAAACATAATATATATTTTTTTAAAAATCCACATTATAACCAAAAACGTTTGCGGTTCCAGGTGAAACGGTTGCGAGACCAGACCAGAAACACGTGTCGTGAAATTATGTAAAACAAAGTATAATATTTTTTCTCAATAAATCCACATTACAACCAAAAACGTTTGCGGCACCCCCCCTCTTCTTTTTTAATATACATACTTTTTCTCGTTGGAACCACTACAACATATTTTTATATATATATATATATATATATATATATATATATATATATATATATATATATATATATATACGTGCAGCTACTTGATATGATGTTAAACCTTCAGCATTGAAGAGATTTTAGTTAGGAGGAGAGAATTCATAATTTTGCTATATTTTCACAGGGGAACTGTTGTCGCGAAAGAGGTAATATCTTAAATGTATTTTCAATTTTGTATCGACGTCATCTGACATTGTGAATCTATGTGATTTGTATATTTCAGATAAAACGCCAAGTAGATAGATACTGATGTCGGTTTAAACATTTCAGTTTAGTTTCACTCTTGATTTCATTGTAAATTCCACTCTGCACAAAACAGAAAAGCAGAAAAGAAAAAAGCGATTTGTTTTCAATTGGAATATGCATAAATACCTTTCGATTTTCCACTCGATTCCTCTAACCAGCGGTTTAATGATAATGGTATCAGAAGAGACAAAAAACACTCGCTGTTGAAATCAAACAACAAACGTACGATAAAGATGAACGATATCTTGTGTTTAAGATGAAAAGAGAAGAATAAAGAAAGCGAAAGTAAAACCAGGCCAATCAATAGTACGGAAAACGATAAAGCAAAGGGTGAATTAATGAAAGATAATAAGCGAAAGTAAGAAGGCAAGAAGTGATAAATGAAAACAAGCAAGAAAGATATAGGAAAGAACAAAGGAGGAAAATAAAAAATGAGGAAATAAAGTAATAGAGAAAACGAAAAGAAATTAGAAAGTAAAACGAACGAAAGAAAGAAAAGAAAAAGAAAGAAGGAAAAAATGAAGCGAGAAAAGGAGAAATAAGAAGGAAAACGAATGAAAGAAAGAAAATAAAAATAAAGAAGTAAAGAAAGAAAGGAAGAGAGAACAAGAAAGAAATAAGAAAGAAAAAGGAACGAAAAAAAAAAAGAAAATAAAAAGAATGGAGGAAAGAAAGAGAGAGTAGAGAAAAGAAACAAGAAAAATAAAGCTAAAGAAAGGAAAGAAAAAATTAAATCAGTGCAACCTGCCATGGATAAAAAATACTTTTAAATCATTAAAAAGAATGAAGCAAAGAATGAGAAGAAAAATTTATATGGAAAGAAAATGAAATATAAAACGAAATTATGATTGAATGATTGAAATGAAAAAATAGAAAATGAGCCTAACATAAAAAGAAAGAAACAGAAAGAAAGAAATGAACAATAGAAAAATGGAAGCAAAGAATTGATAGCGGCGAAAACGTTATGGTAATGAGGCAATAAATAGAAGAAAATAATCAAATCAAGGAAAACTGACAGAAGGAGAAATTAAAGTACGACAAAAGAGAATTGGATTACTCAAAGTTTTGCAAGAAGAATTGGATAAATACCTGTAAAGAAATAAGATAAAAAGAAGAAGCTATTGAATTATTTAAACGTAAGGAAGAAGAAAAAATCATGAATGAATTAAGAGGTAAGGAAGAAAGAGAACGATATCGAATCAGATGTAGGTGCGAAAAATGTCGGCAAATTAGTTTTGTAATAAAAACAACTGTTAGGAATGAAATAATGAATGAATGACTGAATGAAAACATAAGATCGCAAAAGGACAAAGAGAAATACAGAATATAGGACAAAAGAAAAATTAAATGAATGAAAAAGATAAAGAGTGGAAAAAATAGAGACTGGAAAATGAACGAATTATCCAGCAAAATAAGTAAAAAATACAAAGATGAAAATTTAAATTCTATTGTAAACAAATGAAATAAATACACAGAAAAAAGATTAATGATA